ACGGCTCAAGTCAAACAGCATGATCGAGCTGTCGACCTTAGCATGCCTTCCTGAATCCTTATAAGCAACCCAATGCACGTTCGCATTGATAACAACCTGCGACCAGAAATACTCGACCACACATTTCTCGGGGACTCGGCCCGGATTAATCTTACACCAACTTTTTGTGCTGAGCGCGAAAACCTCGGCCTCAGGGGGCACGGGGTAGCCATTGTCCCCCTGCACATAACTTAGCCTCACAACCTTATAGTCGTCGTGCATAGGATCATATCCGAACCCAAGCACGCGGACGTGAGAGTACGGCTGGTCGCCCGCATTGTCTGAATCTGGCAGCACGAGTTTCCTTTTGATCGACGGGTTCCAGAGCAGGATCGGGCCGGGCCGCCCGAAGAGGTCGTCCGAGAGGCAGAGCACGCCGTTGCAGGAGCCGACGATCCGGAAATAGAAACGGGTGAGGTTGCGAAAAGGGTACTCGATTTCGGTGCCTTGTTCTTTCAAGTCCTCGCAGTCGAATTCGCGGTGGAGCGAGTAGAGTTCGGTCTGTAAGGGCCTGAGGTATCGCCGGAGGATGGCTTGGGGTTTGGAGAAGAGGATTTGGCGTTGGGTGTGGGCTGAGATGAAATAGGGGCTGGAGATGAGTGAGTTCCACGTTTTGGAGACGCATCTGAACTTGATGAGAGTCTTGGGCGGTAGCCTGGTGAGGATCTTGATCAGCATTTCTTGAGGTAGGTATTCAGACATTTTTCTTTAATTTATTTTTTTGGAGGATGATGGGATTTTTGTGTGCTGTAAATTGTGGAGTCCGAGGGATGTTAGAATGGAGGAAGGGTTTGTTTGTTAACGTTGTCGGGAAAGGACAGAATGGCTGGTGAGTTTCAGTTCTGGCAAAATTTTTGTCAGCACTGTGAGTTTTGAAATCTGTGAGCAAATTTGCTCTTACGAGATTGAATTTTGTGAGCAATTTTGTGGACCGGACAACATAATTTTGGGAGAGCTACAGTCTCATTACGGAACTATTTTGTCGGGTTTGTAAATGTTAGATCAATTATCCCTGTCGATTATATGATGATTTAATGATTACAAACTTGATGAAATGATTCTGTAACTGGACTATAGACCATAATTTTCATCAAGGATTTCCAAAAATTAGGGTGTGACACTCACTTTTGGGGTAATTTATTTTCTTAAAAAGTAAAAAATAAGTGGATAAAAAAAAATAAAAATTAGTAGACCAAAATCAAATACACGTATTATGAGAATACGTTTTTAATAATTAGATTTTATTTAAAAAAACGTATAATCAAAATACGTGTTATAATTAATTTTATTTTTTAAAAAAAATTAAAATAAATTATAAAACGTATTATAACAATACGTTTTTTTAAAAAAATTAATAAATAAAAACGTATTTTGAAAATACGTTTTATTAATGAAAAAATTTAATATTTAGTATGTATTTTGTGTTTGAACTCGTTTGGGCTCATCTAAACTCGAAATTGAGTTTCGTGTTTTCCTATACGTAGCTAACGACCCCCTCTATTCAATGATGCTTTTCGTTAATGCTCGACTCGTTTATCGAGGCCCGACGGAACACCCGAAGTCTCCTCTTCTCGCTTATTTTGCTACTATTCCTACGGGAATTCAAGTTTCTCTAATTAAATGCTCGGAACTCCGAAATACTCAATAAATGCCCCACATGACATCGTGCTTGAATTATCTACACGCCCCATTTCGATTCTCGGTAAACCGAAGTCACATTCGACTTTGCGGGACCCACGTAAATGGCTTTTTCATTTATTTTACTAATATGCACCCTCAAAATCGAGTTTCTCTAAATAAATGATTGGGACCTCAAAATAATAAATCGATGCCACAAACGACTTCTCCTCTTCTCATGCTTTCTCGAAAGCACTTTTCGTGAATACTCAACTCGCTTATCGAGGCCCGATGGAACACCCGAAGTCTCCTCTTCTCGCTTATTTTGCTACTATTCCCACGGGAATTCAAGTTTCTCGAATTAAATGCTCGGAACTCTGAAATACTCAATAAATGCCCCGCATGACATCGTGCCTGAATTATCTACACGCTCCAACTCGATTCTCGGTAAACTGAAGTCACACGCGACCTTGCGAGACCCACGTAAACAACTTTTTTATTTATTTTACTAATATGCACCCTCGCACTCGAGTTTCTCTAAATAAATGATTGGGACCTCAAAATAATAAATGAACGCCACAAACGACTTCTCCTCTTCTCGTGCTTTCTCGAAAGCACTTTTCGTTAATGCTCGACACGCTTATCGAGGCCCGACGGAACATCTGAAGTCACCTCTTCTTGCTTATTTTGCTATTATTCCCACGGGAATTCAAGTTTCTCTAATTAAATGTTCGGAACTCCAAAATACCCGATAAATGCCCCGCATGACATCGTGCCTGAATTATCTATATGCCCCAACTCGATTCTCGGTAAACTGAAGCCACACGCGACCTTGCAAGACCCAGGTAAACAGCTTTTTCACTTATTTTACTAATATGCACCCTCGAACACGAGTTTCTCTAAATAAATGATTGGGACCTCGAAATAATAAATCAACGCCACAAACGGCTTCTCCTCTTCTCGTGCTTTCTCGAAAGCACTTTTTGTTAATGCTCGACTTGCTTATCGAGGCCCGACGGAACACCCGAAGTCTCCTCTTCTAGCTTATTTTGCTACTATTTCCACGGGAATTCAAGTTTCTCTAATTAAATGCTCGGAACTCTAAAATACTCGATAAATGCCCCGCATGACATCGTGCCTGAATTATCTACACGCCTCAACTCGATTCTCAATAAACCGAAGCCACACGGGACCTTGCGGGACCCACGTAAACGACTTTTTTATTTATTTTCTAATATGCACCCTCGAACTCGAGTTTCTCAAAAAAAAAAAATCATATCACGTTGAATATCTGTGAACTTCCACTTTTATATGGTTGACGTTCATCAATCAATGATATACAAGACTATTGAATGCATGTTGAGTTGTGCATCATTCGCTTTGTGTCCAATCCAACTTTCTCACTGCTCCTCTTGTTGTTTGGGTCGATGTCTTAGAGGTAAAATGATCTTATACAATGCATGCTACATACCGATAGATTACATCAAAACGAACATATTTAGTTTCTAGAAACAAGTTAATGCCTCAACAATGAAACAAGAAGCATGCATAAAGGATGTGGAGCGCGTAATTGGAGTCCAAAGTCGATTTGCTATTGTGGTCAATCCTGCCCGATTTTAGAGTAAAAATGACTCACAAGGTATAATTATTGCATTTATTATTTTGCACAATATGATAATTGAGGATGAACGAGATATTGATGCAACAATCGAAGCTGCGATTGAGGCTTCGATCCGAGTTGTTGAAATGGTGAGTACACTTCTCAGTTCTAAGCATTTGTTGCTCGATAAAAGCAAATTTGAGATAGAGACGCCCATATCGCCCTTCGTAATGTATTGATTGATCACTTATGAAAATTTTTTTATAATTCAGAAAAATAGATTGTTTGTAGTGGTTTTTAATTTTTCATTGTATTATGTAATTTGTACTCCTATAGTTTGAATTTACGAAGCAGTTTCGTGTTGTTATACATAAACATATTTTTATTATTTCAGTAATAAACAATTATATAAGATTAAATATACATACATATATCAATATATTTGAAATAAAAAGTTAATAAAAAAAATAATATATTTGAAATAAAAAGTTAATAAAAAAATAATATGTTTGATGTAAAGTAAAATATAACGCAAGTAACTCCAACTTAAATTTTGACTTACTCCATCCTAGAGTAAAACGCGTGGATAAAGATGGGGAAAATGCTACAGTTCCGTTGCAGAACTATTTCGTCGAGATTTGTAATTGTTAGAACATTATGTAACTGTCGTGGATAGTTGATCTAACAGTTACAAATTCCGACAGAATGATTTCGTAACGGGACTTGTAACTGTTAGATCATCATATAATTGTCGTGGATAGTTGATCTAACAGTTACAAATCCTGACAGAATGATTCAAGAACATCGAATCTACTGAACTAGAGATGTATGCGTTGTTTTCCCACGGTTCATAAAATTAATGTGGTCTACAATTTAGTATTTTCTTTGAATGCCCAAATCAGCCACGTTCATTTAGGACGAGGAAAACAAAAAAATTGGACCAATCAAACAGTGGTAAAAGGCCACGTACACTCTGTCTCGACCACATCCGCGTCCCTTAAAACTACCATCATCTCCTTGCCCAGTATCTCGCTCGCTAGAATCACCTCTTATCAGGTACTGAAATTTATTCATTTTTAGCAGAATTTAAGGAACCATATGTTAGAAATATACGTTTTTTTATGGTGGGTTCGTGTTGTTGCTGAACTTGTCGGGCTGGATGAGTTCAGTTCAGTTTGGCACTTGGTTAAATAATAACAGTCTGTGTTGTGAGACTGAAACTGAGAGTCGATTTGCGTGCGCTAATGGTGATTTATAATCTGGGTTTCCTACTTTTGATGTCTAATTGAATCTAGCGTTGAGTAATTGCTGAAGCTGAAGTTAACCTGTTTGATTTACTATTTTTCCCCTTTTCCCAGAAAATTAGTGCCTTGGCTAGCTCGTCCTTCTTGAAATCCAATTGTTGTCTGTTTTTTCTTCATTTTTTCTTCCTTTTTGTTGTAACCATATTTTCTGCTAATCTTTCTAGGTTGGTATGTTTTGACCTAGTATTATAGCCTTTCTGAAAATGAACATTACACTTGTCAACAAAAATTCTCTGCCCCTGAAATCAATTCTTTCTCTTAGCTATGTAGTTTTTGTAATTGCAATTTGTGAAAATAGGCTATGGATTTGATATAGTGGAAATTACATTAAGTTCTTCTTTCTTGTTTTACTCATTTCTTCATGTCTGGGTTTATTGCGTAATATCATTAAGCTTCTCTTCGTGACGACTGCTTACCTTATTGATTGTTTTTTGTCAAACTTCAGGGGAATAAAACATGGCAGCTTTATCCGGATGTGTAGTGGGAAATGGTTTATCTGTTGGTAATACAAGAAACACTTTGAGCAAAGAAATTTACGGGAGGCGGTTGATCCTATCCTCACGCCTTCGGCTACTGAATAATGCATCCAAAGTTGATAATATCAGGGCATCTTTAGATCAAGAAACCAAAGGAGGAAGAAGAGGCTTTCTGAAATTTTTGCTCAGTAATGCCGGACTTGCTGTGCCTTCGTTACTAAGCAGCGACAGAGCCATTGCTGATGACCAAGGTGTTTCCAATTCGAGAATGTCTTATTCCAGATTCCTGGAGTATCTGGATAAGGATAGAGTGAAAAAAGTTGACTTGTTTGAGAACGGAACCATTGCCATCGTTGAGGCTATATCTCCCGAGCTGGGCAACCGTGTCCAGAGAGTCCGTGTACAGCTCCCAGGCCTCAGTCAGGAGCTTCTTCAGAAGTTTAGAGAGAAGAACATCGACTTTGCCGCCCACAATGCACAAGAGGACTCTGGATCCTTTTTATTTAACCTAATTGGAAATCTAGCCTTCCCTCTACTTCTGATTGGGGGTCTTTTCCTCCTCTCAAGAAGATCCTCTGGAGGAATGGGGGGGCCTGGAGGGCCAGGTTTTCCCCTCACGTTTGGCCAGTCAAAGGCTAAATTCCAAATGGAGCCCAACACGGGCGTCACTTTCGACGATGTTGCTGGCGTGGACGAGGCCAAGCAAGACTTTATGGAGGTGGTCGAGTTCTTGAAGAAGCCTGAGAGGTTTACTGCCGTGGGTGCTCGTATCCCGAAAGGAGTTCTTCTGGTGGGCCCTCCCGGTACCGGGAAGACCTTGCTGGCGAAGGCAATAGCAGGCGAAGCTGGCGTCCCCTTTTTCTCCATATCGGGTTCCGAGTTTGTCGAGATGTTTGTCGGGGTTGGGGCCTCGAGGGTTCGTGACCTTTTCAAGAAGGCCAAGGAGAATGCCCCGTGTATCGTGTTTGTTGATGAAATTGATGCCGTTGGACGCCAGAGAGGGACGGGCATCGGTGGAGGGAATGACGAGAGGGAGCAGACCCTGAACCAGCTACTGACGGAAATGGATGGGTTTGAAGGTAACACGGGCATTATTGTAATTGCAGCCACTAACCGTGCTGATATTCTTGATTCTGCGCTGCTGAGACCCGGAAGGTTTGATAGACAGGTATATGGATAGTATAATTTTTCTCTATGTGACCTGATACTTAATAATATGGGAACAGATAGTGGGATGAAATCTGAATATTTGGTGCAGGTGACTGTGGATGTCCCAGATATTCGTGGAAGAACAGAGATCCTTAAGGTTCATGGGGGCAATAAGAAGTTTGATTCGGATGTTTCGCTTGAAGTGATAGCTATGAGGACGCCTGGGTTTAGTGGGGCAGATCTTGCAAATCTCTTGAACGAGGCAGCTATTCTTGCTGGCCGGCGTGGGAAGACGGCCATCTCGTCAAAAGAAATTGATGATTCGATTGATAGGATAGTTGCCGGAATGGAGGGAACGGTTATGACTGATGGCAAGAGCAAGAGTCTCGTGGCGTACCATGAAGTGGGTCATGCCATCTGTGGGTAAGTTCAGATTTGTGCCTCAGTCCTCTTACACCATTGGATGTCATAGTTCCTTATTTTAGAAGTTGGACAACTTTATTCATCCTAAATTTATTTGAACTTGAATGTGAACAATCTTCTGTTACCCCTTCGTTGTCCTCTGCCATGTACCAATCTTAGGCATGCACTATCCAATCTTCACTGAAATGATGGTCTTTGCTAGTTATAGTTTTTGTTGTTTCTTCACTTAGAACTGGAGAATCATAGTTGTGAACCAGCATTGTCTTCTGAAGCCTCTTCATTCTTTGACATCATGTGGCTGGGTTGCATGTTATTAGTTATTATTTATACATTTTCTTTCAGTATTGACATTCTCGCTGTAATATACTATAGTTGAACTATTATCCTCAATTATCTTGCCCTTGAAGCACCTGTAATTAATTCTCAGTTCATTGATCAGTACACAGTTTGCGATTGGTGATAATTAGCAACTACCACTGCTCGTTTTGAATTGCAGAACTCTTACCCCGGGGCATGATGCTGTTCAGAAGGTCACCTTAGTTCCTCGCGGTCAAGCACGTGGTTTGACCTGGTTTATCCCCGCAGACGATCCAACCTTGATCTCAAAACAGCAACTTTTTGCCAGGATTGTTGGTGGGCTCGGTGGACGAGCTGCAGAGGAAATTGTATTCGGTGAGCCCGAGGTCACAACTGGTGCATTTGGTGATTTACAACAGATAACTGGTTTGGCCAAACAGGTAAATCGTCTTATGTTGTTGCAATCTCATATCATCGCCCTTATATATAGTTAGCGAATGCGTTTAGCCTAAGTGGCAAGTTCGTGTGTTTTGTAAAATTATTTTGACTATTAGGCTTGAGAATTACCATAAATTATTTTAGCTTTACTTTTTTGTTAAGTTACCATATATCATTCTTACATTTTCTTATTTAATTCATTCATATATTAATTATATGCATTACTATTTTTTATATTTAAAACTTTTTAACTTTTTTATCTTATTTTTATTTTTTATTTATGATATATTAAATTAATCATATTTTAACAATCTTCGATTTGACATCCACATTGCATGTATAAATATAAAATAATTCCATCTATCTTTATAGCAAATTTAATTTTATTATCAAATAAATATATAAAGTACCAATAAATTATTTTATAAAAATAATAAAAATCTAATTTATCAATACACCGTAAAATATATTATATAAGTAACTAAATGTTATTATGTTGTTTAAAATAATAAATATAAAGGGATATCGTAATTAAAAATAATAAAATATTTTTATGTTTTATAAATTTATGGAATAATACATTTTTTTATAAATTAATATTAAATTATATAAATATAAAAAGCTTGAAAATTAAAAAAAAACGAGACACTGAATCTATAAATATTAACTATAATCACAACACAATAAAGCTTGTTTTGTTTTAAAAAAAATCGAATAAAATATATGGAGTTGTGAATAATATCTGTTTTAGACATATATAATTTTAAAAATATAATAAAAAAAATATTATTTTGAACAAATTTAGTGTAAAAATACGGATACTGTATTGAATTAATTATCACTGTGTTAGTTATTTATTATTGTTATATATTCATTACATAATTTCACAATAAAAATATAAATAATTTTAGTTTTCCATTGTATAAATATTAATATATTTAAGTACCGGTGTAGTACATGGGCATCGTACAAGTTAAATTTTATTATTTACAAAGAGATAACTGGTTTTCCTTTTTGCATTTTGTTTGTAGATGGTTGTTACATTCGGCATGTCTGAGATAGGTCCGTGGTCGCTCATGGACTCATCTGCCCAAAGTGGTGACGTGATTATGAGAATGATGGCACGGAATTCCATGTCGGAAAAACTTGCCGAAGATATTGATGCTGCAGTCAAGAGGATCTCAGACGAGGCCTACGAGATTGCCTTGAGCCACATACGAAACAACCGTGAAGCTATGGATAAGATTGTGGAGGTTCTTCTCGAGAAGGAGACAATGACTGGGGACGAATTCCGGGCTATCCTCTCTGAGTTTGTCGAGATTCCTGCTGAGAATCGAGTATCGCCTACAGCTGCTGCTGTTGCTGTATAATTGTGTATGCATTCTTGTGATGAACTTCATATCATAGACCTTAATTGATTTTGGTGTAACATACTATTGTTTTGCCTTGTACTAAGTTCACAGTCCAACATGTTTAATAGTTGAAACGAATACTTGAACTGTTTTAGCCGTTTTTTCTTAGTCTTTTGGTGTAAAGAGAGGAAAGATTTATATAAAAAATACTTGGTTTTTGTTATGAACAAAGTGGATTTACCACTAGTAATCTTACTATTATTGATCTTATCACTATTGCAATGTATGGAAATGTGTGAAGGAGATGGAAAAATATCATGTCCAGGAAGTCTCCTATTCCTATATAAAAGGCAAGTTAGTGTAATTTGAATTGTAGGGATGGAAAAAGAAAAAAAAAATTAGGTTATGTTTGGTAGACAAATAAATTAGGTTATAGTTTATTTGATTAGATTATAAGTTTCATGTATTCAAATAAGCCTTGTTTGGTAGGACGAACTTTTCTAAAAAGCTAGAGCTTATTTGATAAGCTTCTTTAGGTAGCTTTTCTAATAAGTTAGTTGAATTTTTTATTCCAGCTAGCTTATCAGCTAATTTTACCAAACACTTTTATCATGTAAGCTAGCTTTTCAGTTATAAGTCATAAGCTATAAGCTCGAAAATTACTGATAAACTAAAAGCTAGCTTATCATCTATCAGCTAGTTTTACCAAACATAGCCTTAGTATATATTATATTCGGTTTCTATATTGAGTTCTATATGTTCCCCGTATTTATTACACATTATCAACACGACCGCTCTACTCGCTAACAAAGGTAAGGAATATGCTGTAAAGATTAAGAAAAATAATTCCAAGTTATAATAAAAATACCTAATATTATTATTTATATTTAACACCCACAAAATTGTTTACTCACTAATGAAGCGTGAAATTTATAGTTATTTATTCTTGTACCCACCATAAAAATTATCGAATAATGTGGGAGTGACATTTTATTTGTTAAATACAAAATATTTTCTATAAGTTTATTTAAAAAAATAAAATTATTTTTCTAAGTGGTCTATTTTTTAAATGTTGCCACATATTTGAAAAAGGATGTTAGTGAATTAATATTTCGTTACATTAAGTTGGGAAAGGGTTTTGTATGTCTTTTGTTTGGTGTTTTCGTTCTTTTTTGTTGTGTTTAGTTTTCGTGTGTTAGTATTTTGTTTCGTGTTTAGTGTGTAGTGTTTATTCTCTTTTTGGGAGCTTAATTCTCATGTTGGGAGCTTGTAAGTGCGTTGTGCGTATTTCGATTAGGCTGTTTTTCGGGTTGTTTTTCCATTGATTCAGTTGTGTAGCTGCTTATTCCGGCCGCTACCGATTGTATATGCGTGTAAATATGTGTTTTTTCTATAAAATTATGCCGTTGGAAAAAAAAGTTAACGAAGAGCCTAAATGAACTATATTTTTGTTACTACTGAACAATTATCAATCGACTAACTTTAAGTACAACTTTATTTTTTGTTACATTTATACAAAATTAATTTAGCTTAAATGAGTTAATTTTCTTACTAAATTAATTTTATTAAATATACTTATAATTACTTAAAATATAAATTTTAGAGTATTTTATTTTATAATATAAACTTAGTCGGTGTCTTAAATTGTGACTAGTAAAAATGTGATATATAACTTAATAACAAAAAAGTCACCCTGAAAAGCCAAAACTGAATAAATCAGTGAAATTTTAGAAGACGCAGAAACCAAGGAGAACCAGTCGGTCAACCACAACGGGGGCAGTAACGGAAATTCAGAATTCGAGCCAAAATGTGCAACGAAAGCATCCGTTGACTTTTGTCACAGTCACTGGCCTAATCCAAATTCCGCAGTTCGAGAAAAAAAAAAAGATAACCCATTAAAATAAACCAGAAAAGATCCCATTAAAGACAAAGTCGAGTTGCTTTTTCTCATTTCCTTTCCTTGTGCAAGCTCTGTGTTAGCTCCGCCAGCTTTTGTACTCTTCTCCCATGGCGCACCTGCTTCGGGTCGGGCTTTCGGGTCGCCTATCCAGTACCGGCGTGGCCGGAGCCTCACGATCCATGTCCACCGGGTGGTGGCGCCACGTGGAGCCTGCCCCCAAAGATCCCATCCTCGGCGTCACCGAAGCTTTCCTCGCCGATCCTAGTCCAGACAAAGTCAACGTCGGCGTGGTCAGTATTTCTTTCTTCAATTGCTCCGAACCAATCGAATACTAAATAGCGTAATCCCAGGATGCCCTGAAAGTTGAATTTATGCTGCAGTGCCTTGAATTTGTTCATTTTTCTCCCTCTTTTTTTTTTTTTTCATTTTCTTGCAGTTGAATTAGCTTTTTTTCTGACCAATGGTTCTTGTTGAATTCTGTTAGACTTTCTAAATCCGGAAATTGAGATTGGGTTTCTTGGGTGCTTGCTATTTTTAGCTCAGTTTGGGAAATTTATTATTCTATTTATTTCATTGTTTGGATTTCCTTGTAAATGTTGGAAAAATCTATTTGTAACAGTAAATACTGTTGAAATTACGGGTCTTTTCTTCTTCTTCTTCTTTATTAATCATGTGTTCTAGTCCTGGTTTTGTGTATCTGTTCTGTTGTGATGGCAAAGGGTGCATACCGCGATGATAATGGAAAACCGGTGGTTCTCGAGTGCGTTCGAGAAGCCGAGAGGAGGATAGCCGGCAATCTACACATGTAACTTCCTTTTTTCCCTTTTTACTATATATAACTCCCTTATTTTTTGTTGTGTTTGTGTATTATTGTGCGTGTTACATTCATGGATTTTATTTTTTTCTTGTTTACCCATCGCAATATAAATGAAACTATCATTGTTTCTCGGGTTTTTCTCAGTTGTGTCGTCTAAAATTATTAAATACATTATTTGTATAAATGATGTTGGTAAGGAAACTTATATCTTTCTACCAGTTTTGCTTGGAGCCATCGGATGGCACGACTTATGGAACCATCCACAATTGTTTACAAATAGTGTATGTCAATACATTAAGGGATGGATGACTCCATAAGAATACCATCCGATGGTTCTATAGAATTTCCGATTTTTCTACTGCTTTTGTAATATGTACATATGTAAATTGAGACAATGGAGTATTGTTTCTTACTACTAATCCCTCGATTTGGATTGATAGTTTAAATTTGAAAATCTCACATTAAAGCCGTAGGTAGTTGGTAGGTAGTAGAAGATAATGGAGTGATGAGAAAACCTATTGGTGTGCGTTTCGATGCCGTTGTCTACAAGTTGCAGGTACACAGTGGTCCCTGGGTCCAAACCTTTAATGTATTCTCATTCCAAATTTCCAATTGTTATTTTCATACTCCCTTTCGGCACTATAGCGTGTGGATCCATTGATGGTCTTTTTCCTGATTGTTATCCTGGACATTATGAACAAGTTGGTGCATTTCCTCGTCACCACCTTAACTTTTGAAGTACAATTATGCCGGAAAAATCAAATTCGTGACCATGATAAGTATTTTATTCAAGTTAAGGTCATCATGAGGGTGATGAATTTCAGCAAATACGTGATTTGCTGAAACATCAAAAGGAGTTCAATTGCTTATGATTCGAGTGTCAGTATACTAAGTAATGCATGAACATAATTACATAATTACAGAAAGATTTTCTATATTTAATCAGGCGAAATAAGTGGTCGTTTTTACTTTACGTTCTTGTTGGAAAACGTGTTTAAAATCAATAAGCCGTGTCATTCTTTGTACTGTAGACAATTGCATAACTGTAGAGGAACCATGAAACTACAGGACAGAATGACATGAACTATGTTGTTGTGAGTTATTTATAAGATGGATCAGAAGCAGAAACCTGAATATTGAACTTCTTTTGCCATCATTTTCAGCAAATTAGAAATTATTTACGAGAGGTACTTACAGTTTTGTATCTGCTAGTTTTTTTTCTCTGAAATGCACTACGATGATTGTATACAATTTCTGTTCAGTTGGTTATCCCCAGATTTAATTTTTAAGTGTGGCTTTCTGAGTTTTATTCATTTCCCATTTTAAAGTAACAAGCTTTTTATTCAGGGAATATCTGCCCATGGGAGGAAGTGTGAACATGGTAGAGGAGACTCTAAAGCTGGCATATGGTGAAAATTCTGAGTTGATCAAAGATAAACGAATCGCGGCTGTGCAAGCTCTTTCGGGAACTGGTGCATGCAGGCTCTTTGCCGACTTCCAAAAGCGTTTTTCCCCTGATTCCCAAATCTACATTCCGGTTCCTACCTGGGCCAAGTAAGTTCAACTTTCCCAGATAATTTCTTTGTCCTCCTTATGCAATTTAATACTTCTCTCTAGATAATTTGCCTTTTCGCCTTGCATTCATCTTAATTACTCTTCGCTTAAAACTCTTTTGACTTTCAAAAATCTATTCATTACTTAATGTGAGTGAGATTTCTGACAGTCACCATAACATCTGGAGAGATGCCCATGTACCTCAGAAAACATTCCATTATTATCACCCAGAATCAAGGGGTTTGGACTTCTCCTCGTTGATGGATGATGTAAAGGTATGTGTCACTATCATAAACAAGAACCGAGTTTCAAACTAAGATTTCCAAATTAAAATGAGTTTTGGGACTAACATCAAATTAGATTTTGTAATCGAGACTTAATTTTGGTAATTCTTAATCCCTTATGTATACGATTTGTTTAGATTTAACTCAGTTGTAGACTCAAAACCTATTCTTAAACTTGAAAAATGTTGAGAGAAGATGACAATATGTCATACGAATTAAAAACGAGAAAGTAAACAACACAAGATTTACGTGGTTCGGCAATATGCCTACGTCCACGGCGGCTGAGGGATCTTTATTATTCTAAAAAATAGTCTCAAATACATCAATACACCATGCTCGCTCCACTCCGCTCACTTCGCTCGGTCGTTCCGCTTCCCTCGCTACATTCGCTCCGTTACGCTCACAGGCATCAGCCTGCCTCCTTCCTTTGTCAATATATGAGCCATACCAACAAAAAACTTGTTAGTTATATAATGTCGGGATAATACCCCATCAGGTATGTTGTAGACAAACAATAGCTAACAATTCCAGCAGCACGTGCACGCTCTGAACTGGGGACCAGCTGCTGTATTCAACTCAGGATTCCCATAGTGCTAGATTTATTAACTGCGCCAGTCAGAGACTCATTGGAAAATCTTACATGTTGTGTCTATTTATGCTTTAAGTGAAATGTCGGGGAGAAGTATGTCAGAATGGATGAAGGCGAAAACCAATTATGTAGATGTTTAAACAGGATGAATGGAATTTCACGTGAGAAAAGAAAATACCGTTGAAACTTACGATTCATAGATTTAAATAGGATAATTTTTACCTCTATATTGAAATTTCGAACCATTAATTTTCGGAGCGAAACACTAATTGCAAAGTTGCTTCTAGCCTTCTACAATGAAACCTTATTTGATTTTAGTCTCCTTACTGATTTTAAATTTAGAAACCTTTGAAATAATTGTACTTAACAAATAACAATATCATTATTTGATTTATGAAGGATCATCATGAAATTCTGATTGCTTTTCCTTTTCTTTTCTCATTGTCGGTGATCGGTGTATCTGTTTATGTGCACCTGTGTGTGTGTCACAGAATGCACCAAATGGGTCTTTCTTCTTGCTTCATGCTTGTGCTCACAATCCAACTGGAGTTGATCCTACCGAAGAACAGTGGAGAGAGATCTCACACCAATTCAAGGTAACATCTCTTACTTGTTTTTGTTTTTGGGCTGTGCTAGGATGTTGCTTTAGTTTTGACATATTTCTCACCTTTATCATTGAATATGTATCAGCGCGCATAGTTTTATTCACTGCTAAGTACGGAGGTAATGTTTAACATCTTCAGGTTAAAGGACATTTTGCCTTGTTTGACATGGCTTATCAAGGATTTGCAAGTGGTGATCCAGAAAGGGATGCCAAGTCTATCCGGATTTTTCTCGAGGACGGCCACCTGATAGGTTGTGCCCAATCTTATGCAAAAAATATGGGACTTTATGGTCAAAGAGTTGGCTGCCTCAGGTAATCCTCTGGCTTGATTTGAAATCTTATATTAACCTTCCTACTACAATAGTGTATTTACAAGGGATTTTCGTTTACAGAATGTATTTTGGGATTTACTAGCATATGTTCCCTTCTTTCCTTTTTTAGTATAGTACAAAACTCATCATGCTCTTATTTCTATACATTCTTTATCGATTGCAGTGTGGTTTGTGAGGATGCAAAACAAGCTGTTGCGGTGAAAAGTCAGTTACAGCAGCTTGCAAGACCTATGTACAGTAATCCTCCTGTTCATGGTGCCCTGATTGTTTCCACCATTCTTGGTGATCCAGATTTGAAGAAATTGTGGCTGAAGGAAGTAAAGGTAATTTACCATTTTCCTTCCGGTTGAAATAGAAGCACGTGTTTGGTTGTTCTTTTCCTTTTTTTTCTTTTTTTGTTTTTGTTTTGTTTTGTTAAGCTATTCCATTCCATGCATGCTGGGTCGAGAACGTCTTGTCAAAATGATTTCATATATTGTTTCTTGTGTTACACGTGATTTCTTGTACATCTTTCCCAGGGAATGGCCGATCGCATCATCGGGATGAGAACCTCTCTTCGAGAAAATCTTGAAAAACTGGGGTCACCTCTTTCGTGGGAGCACGTAACCAAGCAGGTCTCTGCAATTCATTCTGCTCTTTTTCTCCTGTTTGTTAAAATTTCGTCATGAAGCTCTTAACAAGTTGATTGCTTGCTTGCAGATCGGCATGTTTTGCTATAGTGGAATGACACCTGAGCAGGTCGATCGTTTGACTAATGAATTTCACATATATATGACTCGCAAT